GGGGGGGTCAAAGTACCACTGTATCTTGCCTTACTTCTGGCTCAAGAAACACTTAATTTCACTGGGGGGTTTTTCCTTCATTCTCACTCTGCCTCTGTCAAAATCCTCAAAAGGTGATAATAAATATAATAAAATATAGGCCTTAAAAAGTGTTTTGTACTGGTGAATTAAAATGGCAATGAATGGGTGTCTATGTGATTTTCCTTCTTTTATGATATATATCTTCTTACTCTCACTTATTGTCTGAAGATAATTTTTATAGAAATAAAAGCTATTAAAGAAACAGCTTTAGTTGTAGTATAAGAGTTTTACAGTACTTGCAACACAATAAGGTCATACAAGTGCCAAAGAGTAGAGGTGTTACAAGAGAGTAACAAACACAAAAAAGGAGGAGAGATCAGGACGATACATGTTTGATAGAAAAGAAGGAGCAAACCACACCAGAGCACCCGCCAACCACGCACTAGTAACAATTTTGAATTCGGAGTGTCTGCGTACACTGCAGCCGGGCACGTAGTAGTAGTCTTAGTATCTACGTACACGGTAACAAGGTACTTAGTTTCGGGGGCCCCTTGAGCTAGGTGCACGGTAACTGCTTCCCCATCCCTCCCCTCACTCATCACTCATCACTGGACTGGCCAATCACAACGCAGCACCGCTGATTGCCTGTTTGAAGCCCACCTACAGCCACCCCATCGCCCAACCCCCTTCCCCCAGATACAGCTCGCTCGATCTCTCCTGCTGTGTCCAAGTTCGGGACCTTCCTTGTCCCACTAATCCCAAGTATAAGTAATTAAGTTTACCTAGAAAAAAAGGGGATTGGGCTCAAGTCCCGCTGTAGGGGGCAGATGGAGTGGTCATGCATCTAGATCTACACCAGGTTGTCTATGACTATGAACTTGGATAGAGAAAAAAAGACAGCTGAAATGACCATTGTCAAACAACGCGGCCTCACACAATGCACACATGCCGGAGATGAGTTGGCACAGTGCACACACTACACGGCGAGTCGCACAACATGATACTTTTGTGAAGAACGAGGGTGGACTTTCCGGTTACCGTACCGTGTACGTAGACTCTGAGACTACGTGCCCGGTTACTGTGTACGTAGACACTCCGTTTTTAATTTTGCACGATTCGTCTTCCTGTAAAATAAGACTCTTAGCGAGCTCTGATTTGTGTAATATTGTACTCGGTTGTCAGACGTGACAAGATTGGGTATTCCCTTCAGAATTCCATGTGATCTTGTTGACCTAGAAATACGGGTAACCGGTTATTTTGTCACACAGTCATCTCGTCCACACCCCAATGATATGTTACGAAATGACTTTGCTTATTATATCTCTCCAAAAATTGTAAAGTTTTGGAGGATCAGCCTAAAGCTTTTTTTGAAGTTATAATAATTATTAATTTTAATGTAAACTAAATCTTCGTCTAAATTGTTTCCATAGCAGCTGAACAATAGTTTTTCAAACAATGTCTGGTAAAAGAGTTAGTAAGGCTTATTTGAAAGTAAGGGTCTAGCTTTGAGCAAAATTGCAGTACCGTAATTTCTATTAGCTAATTTATTTTTAACAGAACTAATTAATGATCTTGCCAATCACATCTTTCAACAATAATGCTTAAAAACCAGCCTATCCAGTTCACTGCCTGAAAATCCAGCCAATCCTCCCAATCTCCTTAGTTCGTTCGCGAATACATCAACATGCTCACCGTCCCACCTCCTCTGTGTCAACTTACTGAACGCAACAAATGAGCTGTCTGTGAATGCCTCTAGAAGACGCTTCTCAATTGTCTCATATTGTGATCTTTCGAGCTCACTAAGCTGTAAGTACAACGCCAATGCATCACCCTCCAGGAACAACGGTACAAATTTTGCAAGATCCTGAATGTTCTTCAAACCCGCGACGAGTTTAACCTTAGCCAACCATGCCACAACATCACTATTGCCACTGAAAGGCTTGATCATGTCCGTCGTTATTTTCGATGCCATCACTAGCACTTAATATCTGGCTCTAGAATGAGCACCTCGCCGAAATAGCTTGTAGTTTAACTATACATGCATGTGGTTTGACTACACACACCCACCTCATGTAGCGATCCAACTTGCACTAACTGGTCGCAACTCTCTGCTCTGCGCCTCGACCGCTACTCACGCAGTCTTCGAAAGTCCGTGGCTCACGCCTCGGCCTGTCCTTGGTTTCTTCAATGTCGAAAGGTAGCCTACCGTACTCGACTACTTTCCCGAGAATCACACAGCTAACCACACTTTTAATGGGTTTACACAAAAGTGTGGCTTCATTGTTTGTTTCACAATGCCATTTCGTGAAGTGAAAGACCTTTTGTTTTGTATCAATGACATGGAAGAGATACATTTAAAAAAAACTATTTTTGTGGTCGGTTGGCGGGTGCTCTGGTGTAGTTTGCTCCTTCTTTCTCCTATCAAACGTCGATCGTCCTTATCTCCCCTCCTTCTTTTTTGTATTTGTTACTCCCTTGTAACACCTCTAATCTTCGGCACTTATATGACCTTATTGTGTTGCAAGTGCCATAAAACTTTTACGAAGAAAAAATTAAAACATTTTATTTACGGCTTTCTCTCCTCAGTTGGTATGGCTACATCCAAAAGTGTCTGATAATGGTGTGGTGAAGTTGTGGAGTGCCAGTTCAGTTGACTTGCCGACAGTTACAGGGAGAAGACTGTTGGGCCTGTGCCTGTAACGATGCATCTCTCGGGTCTTTCAAGGACGGAGTGCCTGACCATCACGTGTCCAGTTTGTATTAAGTTGTTCAATGAAAAAGAGCACCGTCCAATATCTCTGGGCTGTGGTCACACCGTGTGTAAATCGTGCATCAAACGCAATTTGAAAGAGAACAGGTAGGTGTAATCACGGTGTAGTTTTACGTGTTCACTCTCAACAGAAATGGAAAAATAGTGTTGTTAATTAATTTTGATTAAATCGAAAATTATGTATCAGTTGCTTTGGCTTAAAAACTGTTTTAGGAGAGGTATAATTGTTTTGTTGTAAGTTGTACTGTGTCAGCAGCTTTACCAGTGAATCAAATACTTTTCTTGTTGTGATGAACATTTCATTCTTATTTTGGAGCTTCTAAATTATGCTCTTCTTGTTTTTGTTTTGTTTTTGTAAAGTGTTTTACGGCGCTCGCAACTGCATAAGGTCATATGAGCGTGCGGGACACACCTAATATTTTCAGTTGGTAGGAAATTTTGAATTTTGCCCGGGTGGCGGCCGAAGCCTACTCTTGTCGATTTTAGACCACCAAGGGATCTTTAACGTGCGCAACTTGCACACGGGCCCTCCGAGATTTTTCGCCCTTATCCGAGAAGGCTAGGTGTAGATCTTTCCTACCAGAAGATCAGGGGTGTGGCAGAAAGACAGCAGTTAGGAGGAACCAAGGAGTAGCAGTAGAAAGGCTGCAGAAAGAGTCAGGAGCCCAGAGGAGGGGGCAAAGGAGGTGAGGGGGTGGGGGCAGAAAGTGGAAATGAAAGCAGACAACAGAACATTGTTAGAGATCAGGAAAGGATGTGAAAGGAGACAATTTCAGAGAAGAAAATTTTTTGGTCACTACCCGGAATCGAACCCGGGACCTTTGAATGAGAGGCCAACATCTTAACCTCAAGGCCACGAGAGCCCCCTATGCTCTTCTGACAACACGTGCGGCACTGCACTGCAGCTAGCACAGTGTGTAGTAGGAGGAGGAGTCTGGCTGACTGTGTGTCCCCAGTTCACTGCTCTGACACCTTCATTTCTGGATACTTTCTCATACACGTACACGATATATATATATATATATATACAATTTAGCATAGTGCAAAGTGAACAGATTTTCAGGTCATACATTTTTTCTTTACCGTTCTATTCTTTGTATTTACAACATGTAGATGATAAAATTCATACATGTATGGTAGCTTTTAAGCACAAGGGGGCCATTCCGATAAATGCTGTTTTGAGAAAATCAAAGGCGAAGTTTTTGGACCCTTGTTCAGTTTCTTTAAAAGACAAGAGGAGAGTTTTCTCTATAACCAAACAAATGTACATGCCAATGAAACCAAACTTTTCCTATAGGTAGGGCAATTCCCGCTTTTGGTGTTGGTCAAGATTTCTGGAAACTCCTGAAATCTGGGTTATCCCGCTTGTCCTTAAAAGCGACCACATATATTCAAAAACATTTCCTATCCTGCTGATGTGGCTATGTGTGTTCTAGTAAGACTGTATATTTCTTCTGCTCCAGGTGTCCCTTTGATCAGATTGTGCTGCCTGATGATGTGGACAAGTTACCGGCCAACTTTGCGCTCATGCACCTGGTGGGTGCCGCTGTGCCAGAACAGGAAAAAGAGGACACGACGACGGGCTCAAACTACCCAAAGTCGTACGAGGTCGCCCGCAGGTGTATAGAGGACATGGCCGTTCACCTGAAGCCGCTTGCAGAAAGTACGTTACGTAGCTGTCATGTTGTAGCCAGGCGACACTTTAAGAGGAATTTTAAAACAAATCGCTCTCAAGGTCCGGGTACACGTAATGATAAATTGTTTAAAAAACGACGATATAGTGCTCGTACGATAAATCATGAGATGTAACCACAAAATCGCACAAAATTTGGACGATTGAACGATGATTTTGGAGACTCAGTCGAGAAATGAAGCGCTGCTTGATATTTTGCGTGTGATCACGATCACACTTGAGGGAGAGGCGCTGTTATGTAGATTCACTTTGAAATTTGCCGCTGCGCAGAACTAAACTCAGAGCTCAAAATTTTAAAAATAATTATCGTAGGTAAAGACTGATTTCATATTCGGAATCAGCATCTCAAAATATTCAATATTGCTCGCGGGAAACCTTATTTGGTGCATTATTATATATATTTGTGGCAATTTTATTATTTAGTTCATCGTCAAGGGTGAAGCTGTGCGTCAAGGTCACTCAGTGCGTTGCACATATGCCTGCAGTCTAGTCATGGCTTCCAGTTCTAAACCCAACACGGTAGGCCTACAGTATGGCCACCCTTTTTTAAAGACACTGTTCTGCTAAATGAAAATGTACAGGGGAAGGGGGGGTGGTGCTCTCGTGATCTAGAGGTACAGTGTTCGCCTTTCATTCATTAGGTCCTGAGCTTGAAACCACATAGAGAGCAGGCAAATCGCTGTCGTCGCAAAGAGACATGGTGGCTTATGACGCAGAATCTCCTCGATCGAAAGAAAACTGGACGTTAGATTGGAACGTGTAAACAGACAACACAGTTCGATAAAACGGACAGTTCTCTCATACGACGAATCTGATACAATTTATCGTTGCGTGTAGCCGGGGCTTCATATGGAAAACTTTTCTCTGTCAGAATTGGTCTCATTGGTCGTAGCAGAAGCCATGGGTTATCTAAAGCCTTATTTCTGGTATTTCTCTGTAAGAAATATTCTCTGCTGATAATGTTGATTGTCATCAGACATTGATGGACAAACTATTATTGCTGTACTGTGTAATGTGGTAAAGATTTTTCTGTTGCAAGCTATTGTACAAACGTATAATGGGAATGTATTGTTAAAAAATCCAGATTGACATTGTTTTAGTGTACAGTTATGAAAGTAGATTTATAGATTTGAATCTAAAGATGGATACCTCTATAAGGGTAGAACAGATGGATGGAATGGCTCTGTGTTGGAAGGAGTAGACATCTGTGCCATGGTTCTGTTCTCTCGTGGCTGGCAATTTCGAACACTCTCCTAACCATTTACCGTTTATGTCACTTGTGGGTGGCAATTTCTAACACTCTCTTAGCCATGGACAGTTTATGTCACTTGTGGGTGACAATTTCTAACACTCTCTTAGCCATGGACAGTTTATGTCACTTGTGGGTGACAATTTCGAACCCTCCCTTAGCCATGGACAGTTTATGTCACTTGTGGATGACAATTTCTAACACTCTCTTAGCCATGGACAGTTTATGTCACTTGTGG